CAACTTTGTTCACTTATGTTTATGAAATTTTAAATTTTAAAAAAATAAGTATTTATAATAATTAATCACAATCGTTTATTGAAAGATTGAATGGCCAAGATCGGTTAACAAAGTTAACACAAAAACTTTGGTTAACATTTGATCTTGACCCTATATATATATATATATATAGTCCCTATGGCTTTAACTTAACCGGTAAAATTGGTGGGCATCCTTAAAGAATGAGTGGAAAGTTTGTTGTTCAACTCCAAACACTACTCACCTGCCTATGGTACATGCGATGTACCTCCCTCATGATGGTCATAAGACGAGTACGACAGGTAGCTCCAGAAGGTGGCGTCATACCCTTTTTTCCCCGCAAAACATACATATATACTCGACAAGAGAAAAACCCGTATACAAGTTTAAACAAGTTAACCACCGAGTACCAAAATGTTACATGACCAACTGGTCGATACTGCCCATAGTAGGCCGGCCACCCTACCTAAACCAATCATCATATTGGTCCTAGGCCCCATTCCAAATCGGTTTCTAGTGATCAAGCCCATAGTCCTCTCCGAAATACTTGTCAACCAACTGATTAGCCATGTTCCGAAGGTCTTCATTCTCGTGAAACTGGAACCGTTCCATGGCATCAATCCCGTCCTCTTTCTCAACCAGCTGTTGTCCCTCACCGTTCGGCATCCCTCTTAACACCTGCAGATTAATCAGAAATTTGTTACTTTTTTTTGTTAACCGTGGGTGTCCGAGCCAACTTGCGGGCAGGGCCTGGAGAACAGCCAGAAAAATCCTTAGTGGCCTTGTAGAACCGGTGACCTCTAAGGAGAATCCCCAAAGGCCCAAGTCTTATTGCATGATACCTGGACTAATTGTGTACCTTGGTGTAAAATTTTATTGTAAAAACCAAGAACGTAAAATTTGTACAATTACTCGTTAAAAAACAGAATCCGAAATTTATCTTTGAATAAAATAGAATTTACAACAATCTGTGGTCATACAAATCTGTATATAAATGACTAAACGAGAACAAACAAACCCAGTATGCCCAACCCAGAGGAGGGGACTCGGGGTGGGATGTACTAATTTGGAGTTGAAAGGATTTGGAATCTTTGATGTGTTTGGTTTTTACGTTCTATTAATTGATTATTACAAAACGAACGTTTTAACATATGTTAGAACATTATTACAAACAAATCATATGAAATCTCGTGAAATACGAACTACCCCATGGGATTCTAAATCCAATGTTAGTGGGATTTCATTGAAATCACGGACTTTCCTTTAGAATCAAGGACGGATTGGAAAGGAATCCAATTCCAAATCCCGCAACCCAAACGGGCCCTTAATGTAGTAGCGATTGCTTAATGCTTCATAGATGTTATATTCTTGAAATGTGACTAACCAAAATTCCCCAGAGTGTGCAAGATGAACATTTTTCTAAACTGAAAAATGCATCAAAATTCAACAAAATTGTCTTAATTCCTATTTAGTGTAACAAAGAAAACTTTTTCCTAATCAATGTAACAGAGTTTCAAATTTTCCAATATTTTAACATTTTGACCAGTAACCTGCTAATCTTGTAACATTTGATGACACGGATGTCAAGTTTATTATCCAATTCGTTGTAACCCTTTCATAAACGAGTATCAACGTCCTCGTAAGATCAACAAGTAACCGGTCAAAAAAGGTACAACATAAGAAATTTTAAAATTTGTTACATCTATCGAGGAAAAAATCTTCATTACACTAAACAGGAATTAAACCAAACTTTGCTGCGTTTTGATGCATTTTGCCTTTTTCTAAAATCAAAAACGGTTTTTATAAAAGAGACATTGGAAATTACCAGCTCCATGAATTGAAGTCCGAGTCGTGCAGCTTCAATATCAGCAGATCTAACCAAATCGATAAAACCACGAAGGCATCCACTTCTAACAAATGAAACCAAGTGATCAGATATCAAACTCGACCTTCCGGAACCTTCAGCTGGAGCAACACAGAGGTTACCAACCACGTATGCCACTTCCTTTTTAATGTCAAATGGTGATGTTGACAGAAGCTGTAACAACAACGGTGATGCTTCACTCGTGTATATCAATTGCTTGTGAGCGACAGAACCCGCGGCTATATTTGATAGCACCCAAGCGGCTTCCTGCAGAAGGGAAATTATAACGCAAGCTGTTAAGACACATGGAACCCCTTTGAATCTCTCTCTAAAAGAGCCCTTATAGAAAGAGAGAGGGAGAGAGGGGAGGTTTATATATAGAGAGAGAGGGAGGGAGGTTCAGGGGAAAACCCACAAAAAAATGAAAAACTCAAGAACACCCTCGTAAACCATTCATTTCTATGATATGCACATGTGTATACAAGTACTCGAAGCTGTTTCTTGGTTTCTATGCACGTGTGCATGCATGTGCATACGGGACAAATTGCATACAAATTACTCGTATGCAACTGTATATACCGTCTAGATGAATGGTTACGTGGGTGTTCCTCAGTTTTTATTTTTTTGTGGTTTTCCCCTGAACCGGACCATGTTTGATGGTCTAGGTCAAGGCAATGTGGGACTCTAGCATGCCCACTCAAACAAAGACTAGACATTTCCCCCAAGAACGAAGACGGATGAGTGTGTTGAGTCCTGAGGTAGTCCTAGACCCCGACTCTAATATCATGTGATAATATGTGGAACCCCTTTGAATATCTTTCTAAAAGATCCCTTAGAGAGAGAGGGGGAAGAGGTTTCTACATATAAAGAGGGAGGTTCATGGGAAAACCGTAAAAAAATGAAAAACTGAAGAATACCCTGGTAACCGTTCGTCTAGACGGTATGCACATGTGCATACAAGTAATTGAAGTTGTTTTTTTTTTATGCATGTGTGCATTATGCACATGTGCATATGCACGTATGCATGTTACAAATTACTTGTATGCACATGTGCATACTGTCCAGATGAACGGTTACCGGGGTGTTCCTCAATTTTTCATTTTTTTTGCGATTTTCCCCTGAATCTGACCCTATATATAGACATGTTTGATGGTCCAGGTCTAGCCAATGTGGGACTTCAGCATGCCCCCTCTAATGTAGACTACACAGTGCTCCCAAGAGCGAAGGCGGATGAGCGTGTTAAGTCCCTAGGTGGTCCTAGACCCTAACTCCGATATATATAAATATATATAGACAAGCTAGATGGCCTCTGTCTAGCTAACGTGGGACTCCAAAACGCCCTCGCAAACAAAGTCTAGATGGTGCCCCAAAGAACGGAGGTAAATGAGTGTGTCGAATCCCTACGTGGTGCTATACCCCAACTCTGATATCATGTTATGATATGTGGAAACCCTTTGAATCTCCCTCTAAAAGATCTCTTATAGAGAGGGGATGTCCTACATGTATAGAAGCTTAGTGGTCCATGTCTAGCCGATGAGGGAAAACGCCCCATTAAACGGAGACTAGACAATGCCCCCTCAAATGGAGACTAGACAATGCCCCCAGGAACGGAGGTGAATGAGTGTGTCAAGTCCCTAGGTAGTGCTAGACCCCAACTATAATACCGTGCTATGATATGTGGAACCCCTTTGAATTTCTCTCCAAAAGAGAGAGATAAGGGGTCCTACATATATGCAGGCTTGATGAGCCTTGTCAAGCCAATGTGAGACTTCAACACAAACATATAATCAAGGGGAGAGAAAGAAGAGTATACCTTCTTTAAGACACGGTGCTCACTTTTCAGACACTTGCTTAATGCCCTTATAATATTATCTGCAAAGTTTACAAAAATTTGGTGCTCTATATAACAAATTTGGGTAGCTCATATTTGCTTTCAATTACTCCATCCATCATAAATATTGCCTTTATATTAGGACATGGAGCAACTTATTTCACATCAGATTTTTTTACTTAAAAAACCAAATGCCCCCACTATATCCCGCTCTAGAGTAGGGTCTTGGGGGCTGGATGTACAAAGACCTAACCTCTATCCCAAAAGATAGAGCAGTTGTTTCCTTGAAGACCCCCAATTAGTGCCAAATCAACTATATAGCCCTCCAGTAGACTGAGAACAAAGTGACGGCAAACAAAAGAAACAGAAAATAAAGAAACTAGCCTGTGATTTCGTGTCCAACAACAAGAACAGCATTCGTTGTGTAAGCATCACCTGCTATGAGATTACCTAAACTCCTTAGCACCTGCATGTATATATATATATATATATATATATAATTACATATAGGTGTATAAGTATAGTAAAAAGAACACCAGAAATGCATGAAAAGATGTATTCATGGATTATAACTATTTGAAGTTTCGAAAAAGTGAATTGTTTCGTGTAAAATTAAAAAATTATAATCCCCAGTGAAGATGTGGACATCATGCAATGAAACATTAACATACAATTGTACAAATGCTACTTCAGAATCAAAGAAGATAAAACTAGGAATTTCTTTTGTCCGAAAAACAAGTCCACTGTTAAAAAAAATTATTTCCCCACGAAAAAGTTGGCATATTTTAAATGAATGGGTACATAAGAGCGAAGAACGTATTAGCAGTAATGAAAAGTTAGCAGCTGGTTTTTTGTTTGTTACCGGAATGAGCAATTGCAAACTATTTGAGGAGGCCAATCGTTCGATAAGTAACTGAAGAAGATCAGTTTTCACAAGCACACTAGTAGCAATAGTTGAAAGAGCAGAGAGATACACGACAACCCATGCTATTTCAGTCGCTAATTCGTCATCCCTATTCATTACACATGCGAAACAAGTAGAAGAAAACAAGCATCTTTAGATGTGTGTTAATAAGCACACAAGGGAGAGGGTTAAAAAACAACATATTATTGAGATTGTAACAGAAAAAAATAAGGGGATAAAACTTCTTAATATTATAATATATCTTATAAATTAAACATAGTATTAGAATAATAGAACCCCTTATTCTCACTCTAAAGGAGTCTAAATAGAGAAGGGAAGGTTCCAACATATATATACAAGTTAGATGGATTGTGTCTAGCTGATATGGTATCCCAGAACTTCCTTCTGAAATATTCATTCCTACTAGTGGTTTATATAGAATAGAGATGCACAAAAAAGCCCGAGCCCGGCCTAGGTCCAGCCCGAGCCAAGTGAGCCCAAAGCCCGGTCCAGGCCAAGCCTCAAAGCCCGATCATGCAAAAAATTTGGGGCAGATCTGGTCCAAAAAATCCCGACCTTGAAAAGCCTGAAAAAAGTCTGGAAAAGCCCGATCGGGCCCTTTTTCAACCCCAAAGCCTGGCCCATGTAAAAAATCCTGGGCCTTTTTATTGGCTCACTGAAAACGGGGTTGGAAGGCCCGGACCAAGACTTGAAAAAGCCCAGGCCTTGTGCATCTCTATAGAAAGGGAATATTCTATTTCCCACTTGTATAATTCCACCGATTAAATTCTTACTTGTAATATGACATTAAACAAAGTCACATAGCCCTTATGCATCTAATGAAGAAGTTGAATATGAGTTTGTTGTCACAGGCCACATTGTTCACTTGAGGTCGAGCCACATCAGCCCCCGTGAATGCATGCTCACGGCCAGCTAGATCGCCTAGAAAGCATTCTTCAAGAAAGGCCACTTGATGAACTAGAACTTTTTAGGGACTTGTAGAGTTCTCTAAAATGTCCTAATCCTATAACTTCCATGTATCTTGTATTATTGCCTAGAACGCTCTAAAGTACCCTTGCTAGTTGCTACTTATGGGCTTTTCTTGCTGTTCAGCGTCATCTTTCACCTCTAGCAGCAAAGGAACGCTTGGCAAGCCGGGATTTTAGAGATGAGGCCTTTTGGCGAAGCCACTTCTTGCTTTCCAGCCGGAGTTTGCTGGGTAGCTGGCTGAATTGCGTCACCAAAAGCGACTACTTACTCTTTTTCGAAAGATAGGTAGAGGTAACTAGATATTTTTTTTATGGATAACCTAGAGAACTCCTATGATCTTAGGGGTTGTTTACTTTTTTTCCCATTAAGCCATGTATTGGTAAAGGGTTGTTTGGTTGGTTTTCCATTAAGTTCGTTATGGATAAAGTTGTTTGTGCTGGTTAGTCGGTTAATCTGTTTGTTATATTGAGAAGGTTTTTGTTTCAGAGGGTTTTTTCATAGATGGAAGAAGCGTGTTTTTTAATTGGGAGGGGAAGGTTTAGAAAAAACTTGGTTTCTGCATAAAGCTCACCCCTGTAAGCTTACTGAATAAGCCACTTTCTATATCATTAAGCCACTAGCAACAGTCATGTATAGCTGGCCAAATAAGCAGTGAGTCCCATTAAGCTCATTAAGCTACTAACAAACAGACCCTAAGTTGTCTGCATATAAAAGTTTGTCTGTCTCGATAAAAATGTATTTGTGTTTCCGTTTTTTTTCCTGAATTAACGGTGACAGAAATGACCATATGTGATACTGGATGCAAAAGAATACATGCATGACCACTAACCTTCAGCTCTATTACTTCATGTTATAAGCTCCATCCATCCCAAAATAAGGGTCCACAATTCTATTTTAGTTTGTCCCATGATAAGTATCCACTTTTAAAAGTAAGTGCCTACATTCCAATTCTACCATTAACTATGAGATGGGAAAATGCATTACTCCCTTATTTTTTAGGATACAACTGTCATTTAGTTCATTAAAAATTATAATAGTTACACATTTCTAAATTATCGACATTTTTATGATGTAATTACACATTTACACCACACTAGTGACGATTCTATCATAATGGTGTGTGAACAACTTACGATTTCCTCATGTGTCTTAGTATAGCATCCACTACACCATCAATTTTAATGAGTTCGGTTGCAGCCTTTGGGTCCGGTCCCTAAATCCACAAACACAATTTACATTAGGTAAGAAGACAAAATCGTTCCGGAATATTCCATACAATCGAGCTGATAAAGAAGTTCCAAGTAAAGTGGAGCAATTAAGAACCTTAATCAGGTTTGATAATGCCCAAGCGGCGGTGCGAACTGTCGAACCCTTGTTTGGCAACATCATTTTTGCAAGAGGAAGCAATGCTCCTTGAGAAATGAGAATATGTCTCAACTCTTCCCCTTCGCCAGCAACATTTCCTAATGCCCATGCACACTGCTCGGCTACAGGCAATGAACTCTTCTCTAGAGATTAATTTACATATGAAATGTTAGACCTTGAAGTAATATCACATAACAATAATAAGTTTGGCAAAATTTACGGAAAAAACAAGTGTTCTATGAATAATTACAATCTAAGGGATAAAAAATTAAAGTTAAGTACAAAAATCGCTCCCTAGTCCCTACGTCCAATTTAGGAGGCTCCATATCAAGTCCTCCCTCCTAATACACTAAAAATTCCCACCCAAATATCTAATGAGGGTCCCAATGGCAGATTCCATTAGGAACCTAAAGTTAAAATTGATTAGAAACCCCGGAATTGCTCACAGCACAAAACATGGCATATTCATCAAAAATACAGACGTGTTATTCATCATGAATATATCATGAATGTGTGATTCATGATGAATAATTGGTCCATATTCATCATAAATGTGTTATTCATGATGAATATTTATCATGAAGAGGGACAAACGGCATGCTGTGGGTGGTTTCCAAGTTCCTAATCAATTTTGGGTTCTTAACAGAACTTTCCTCGGGTCCTGATCATGTAAACATATGGGATCACCACAAAACTGATAAGGGGAAACGGAGGAAATGGGCTACAAAAAAAACCCTAAATATTATCAGATTTTTTTATACAATTTTACATAATTATACAAACTTATAGCCAGAATATATATACAAAAAAGAGCATATTTACCCTTATTACAGCCAAAAAGATTAGACTACCCTCAAAAGTTACCACAAGTTTTCAGATATGTAGATATTGATTTTGTATTCAAAGAATAATTTCACGTGGGGAGCATAGAATCTTCACTTTGGTTATTATCCCTCATAACTACAGCTAATATATGAGCAAGGAGACAGGCCTTATGTCAAATACCAAATCCAGGTATCTTATCACTGACCTCCAATATGAGCAATAAGTAATGGTAATGCTGGCAGCAAAGCTCTCGTTTCTTCAGGTTTTCCAGCAGCTATGTTCGTTAGACACCAAGCCGCCTCAAGCAACTGCGTTATGGGCCCAAAAATGAAAATTAAACCTTAAAACATAGTACACATACACCATTTATGTGTACCTTAATGCTCCTTCTCGATCTATATATATATATATATATATATATATAGGGTTGGGTTCACGTGAGACCGGCCTGTTTTCGTGAGACACGTGAGACAACATTTTTACACTTGAAACTTCACAACAAAATGTTGTGAAGGTAAAAAAAAAGCCGAACCTTCACAACAGACAGTGTTTTGCTGTGAAGTTTCAAGTGTACAAATATATATGAGGGAGGTTCAAGGGAAAACCCCCCAAAAATGAAAAACTGAGGAACACCTTGGTAACCATTCATCTGGACGGTATGCATGTGTGCCTACAAGTAATTGAAGTTGTTTCTTGGTTTTTATGCATGTGTCCATAATACCGAACATACTGCTTATAAATTACTTGTATGCACATGTGCATACCGTCCAGATGAAATGCTACCAAGGTGTTTCTCAGTTTTTCATTTTTTTACGGGTTTTCCCCTTAACTGACCCTATATGTATATGAGCTAAATAAAAAGGTATGTTTTGACAGAAGAAAATGGTTACATTTACCTGTTCATCCTGGGAGCCAAATGAAAGAGACTGTGCAAGTAAAGGTATTGCTCCAGATCTAAGAGCAATTTCAACAGGAGGAAACTCGGATCTAGACAATAGACGTCTTAGTTCGGAAAGAGCATTCACCTGCCTTTGGACTGCACCCTTCCCCCTAAAGATAATCAAGTAGAATGAAGCAATAATAATAAAGGTTACCCAAAGATTGCATGAATGAGAATATAGCATCTGAGTGATTTGACTGATGTCCAACTAAGAAATGGAGAAAAGATGCTAGAGTCCATAGCTCGAAATGGAAACAGCTCAAAATGTTGGAAACGTGGAAACATATCTCAACCGTTAGATGGATTTGATCCATACGGTATGATTAAAAAGACGGTACAATATTTTCTTAAACAAAAATAATCCCCCCCCCCCTCTTTGTATTATCAAAATTGGAGACGAACAAATTATACAAAAAAAGGAGCATTTTATTATCTTTAATATGGCATTCATATTGTTGTAATTTTTCATTCAGTTTTTCGTGTTTTCACCCTTTAAGGTTGTTTCCATTTGAACCGCCCCCTAGTTACATATCAGGGATATACATATTCATGCACATACAAGCATACTCAACGAATCACTGAACTAACAATTCGAATGTGGACACACATTTACACGTAGTTTTGGGGACTAGCAGCTTGTAAAACCCATTGCAAACATACCCCCAACAATTTCTCAGTTAGATAGAACTCGTCAAACTTTTAGATAATAAATATAATGAATTAACTTACTGAAAGGCAACAGCTAGCTTCAATTCTTCGACAGCAGAAGATGTCTGGGCCTCTAAAATTGATTGCTCTTCTTCGATTATCATGTCACTGTCAATGGGAACATCCATATCACTGCTAACTCCCACTCTACATAATCGTTTGGTTCGAAACATAGCTTCTCTTCTTTCTCTACCCACTGAAACAGCATGTTGCCTTCTCCTTTGTGCAGCAGCATTCCCAACTACATTACCAGATAACATTTTTAGCACAAGCACTGGGGACAAAACATGTGTATGTACCAAGTATATGTGATATATATATATATGTATGTATATCTATATCTATATGTATATGCACATGTACATATATGTATATGTATATATACATATATAGATGTATATGTATAGGTATATACATATACATGTATGTACATATATGTATATGTATGTATGTATGTATATATATATGTATGTATGTATATATATATGTATATGCATATATATCTATATGTATGTATGTATATATATCTATATGTATATGTGTATATGTATGTATATATATCTATATGTATATGTGTATATGTATGTATATATATCTATATGTATATGTGTATATGTATGTATGTAGGGTCAGATTCAGGGGAAACTGCAAAAAAAATGAAAAACTACCACCCTAGTAACCGTTCATCCAAAAGGTATGCACATGCACATACAAGTAATTTGTAAGCAATTTGTCCGGTATGCACATGTGCATGACATGTACACATGCATAAAAACCAAGAAAAAACTTCAATTACTTGTATGCACATGTGTATACCCTCCAGATGAATGGTTGATGAATGGTTACCGAGTTTCATTTTTTGGGGTTTTCTTTAAACCTGCCTCTTTATATATGTATATGTATAGCAAAAAGATCATTGGGTAGTTAAAACAATCAGTTTATCTACATGTCTAATTCCAGTTCCTATTCTAGAATTAGTCGATTGGTCAGTCAATACTCCAAATTACCTCTAAGTATTAGCGTAATCCTTCAAAATTCAAATCCTCCTCGAAGTAAACAACAAAGGCTCCCTCCATTCTCTATATTACTTTCTTCCCCTAAAACCCAGATAATTTTTAGTAAATTTTAAGTAATTTTATAAGTCAATGTTGTAAGGGTTCAAATGCAAAACAGCGACATAGAGTTGTTTCATCATACAAAAAGAACCCATGAAGCTATAATCTACTTAATTTGTTCAGTCAAACATACTCAACAACAATAACTCAAAACGATAATCCATCAAATCACCAATTGCAAAAACGCGTGAATTTGAGCTGTAAAAGTGAAAACAGAAGATAAAGCATGCCTGGATTCTTGATGGGATCTCTCCTAGGTGTCGCTGCGCTTTCATCGGCCATTGATTTGACTCCGAAAACGAAGCAAAACTCTCTGCAAACTCGAATGGATCCAAATTTACGGGTTTGGAAGATATGGGTTCCCTTTTTCAAATCGACAGTTAAGGGGGGTAAATCGTATACCTAAATCCTGATGTAGCCAGATGAGCGGGTTCATGAAATAAATATAAATTTTGGACAAATAAATATATTTATATTTTTTTGTAATTTCTCTGCGTATAGAAATGAGAAAAAAAATTAATTAAATTAAAATATGTTATTTTTATAAATATATTTTTATTTATTTTAGTGAAATATAACGGATGAATAAATATATAATTTTATAAATATCTGTTTGTTTATCTCTTAATAGTTCCATTAAGAGTCAACATCTGAATCGCTAATAGGTGAATCTTGTTTGACGAAAAAAAAAGTTTGTTTTTTTAATGGTTCTAAAACCTTCTGAATGATTTTGTATCATTAGTCTCCCTTAACCATTTAAGCACATTAATTTTATTGTAAACAATTATCGAACAATTATGTTTTATTTTGTATTGTATCATGAGAGTCTCTTAATCATTCTACACCAAACCAATCATTCTGTACCAAACCATTCAGTAAGTGTCAAACAGTGTCTTACTTTTTTCCCCTCCCACCCACAGATAAAAAATTAAGAGGAAATCAGTATTATTCTGTTACATTCCTTTCTTTCCTTAAAAAAAACTCAAAAATACAATATTTTATATTTCCACCTTACTTTCCTTTCACTTCCTTTTCTTTGTAAAAAAAGACTTGAGAACATGGAGTTAAACTGTTAATGCCGTCTTTGATAACTCAACGCCTTAGAGGTTGATTGGTTTGAACATGAAATGAAAATGACATTTCCCCAGTTTAATTTGAAATGAAATTATGGGTTTGTGTGCAACATGTCAGTTATACTGTATAAAATCAGACAGTTTCTTTTATACTTAATCTCATTAATTACTGTTTAATATCTTTAACCATACACTCTCTTAATTATAATATCTTACGAACATGGGATACGTGTTTTATCACGTATCAAATATAATTAAGCCAAAACAAACATTGAATAATCGCTAAATGAATAAATGGTTTGTTTGTAAATGGCTTAATGGGCTCGGGATTATATTTGGGTATTTGTTTGCAACTGTTGATTAAGCCACTAGCCAATTGCTTTAATTTGTAAGACCCCACATTAGTTGAGGATGGAACAAAAGTTGCCTTATAAGGGGTTTGATACCTCTTTAATCAGACGCATTTTAAAACCATGAGTCCAGGTGTGTGGACAAAGTGGACAGTATTTGGTACGATTGGTCTGAGATGTTACATAGTCCACATAACATAGTGCTTGTCATTCATCTTATATTCATATAAATATAGATAAACTCATCAGCCTCACCCGTCTCGCCTGTCGTTGCTCCCTTCTTGCCACAACTTGTTCTTGATCTTTTTCTCATCATCGTTGATCCCATCATCTATATTTAACAAGCATTCTATCTCGTCGTCATTTGGAAGTTGATCCATTCATTTCCTCTGACTCCAACGACTTCTAGACCGTCATCATTTTTATTCGCATATTGATCAACCCTTCCCATTGACATGCATGTGCGTTGAGGTGCGAATGGTTGCAAATTTGTTTCCATATGGTATTAGATTGTAGCTAGACGACAATCAGGTGAAGCCATTGACTAGAAAACGGTGTCGCCTGCCATTAAAACCTAAAATAAACAACATGCTAATGCATGTAATGTATTACAACTAAGATTATTGGTCATTGTCATACTCATCTAATAAGATAAATAACATCAATAAATGCTTACCATGCAAGTGTTTGGAAAACAAAAGTCGAGTCTTACAGATCATTTATTACAACCGATATTCACTTAGAACGATCAAACCCAACGAACAAATAATGGGTCGTTTCGTTCAGTTGGGGAATTCAAATAGAAATTAAAATGAAAATGATATGGAACGAGTTTTCATTCCCCCCGGTTTAACATGCAACGAAATTCTGGAGGAACGGACCAATTATATTGTATCAAAACAAACAATTTCTTTCATTTTCATTTTCACTGATCAGGTATGTCCTGACATTTTATAGGTTTTGGGCAAGATGTTAAAAATGACCTTCGACAAGTACGGAAAATATTCAATATATTGATTTTATCATTAGAAATAACATTGAATTCAAAAAGTGTTAACAAGTCTTGTAAAACCGTTTTTTTCAAACATTCCCACTTTTGTATACTAAAAAAAACTGGACCCCAATTTCTTTTGGGTCCTGGACATGCGTCTGACCTGCCCTTGCTAGAGATAACTGATTATTGCTTAATACCTTAAAACAAACACCCATTGATATCAAAACCTTGCTATTATTTCAGATAAAATGTTCATATAAAAAGTAAATTACGATTTCATTCTTGTGATTTGTTAATTATTTCGATTTTCGTCCTTTTAGTTTAGAAATTGAGATTTTCGTCCCTATGGCTATACAATTTATATTGCATAAATAATTTATACGTTTAAAATATGAGGGACCAAAACACTAAAATATTTAAATTACAGGGACTAAAATAACAACAAATTATAAATCATAAGAACAAAAATTACAATGAATTACAAAACATATGAACAAAAACCACAATTTCTAAACTATATGGACGAAAACATCGCAATTTTCACCAAACCATAGGGACGGAAAACTTAATTTAGGTCTTGTTTGTTTTTTTTATAAAAAATATTTTATTAGCCTCTTATGTCTGGTTCATTAAGAGGTAAGATCATTCAGACTGTTTGTTTTTTCCAAAATTTTAGAGGTACTTATGTCTTATTGTCCTCTTGGTTAGATGTAAACGAACATCTTATTTGCCTCTTATTGTTTTCTTCAAACCCTCAACAACGATGTTTCTCAATCGACTAACCTTAATCGATCATTTATCTCAATCCTTACAAAATCAATCCTCATGTATCTCAATTGATGTACTTTAATAGAATTTAAATGTGTTAAATATTATTACTGACATATTTTCGTTTAAATGAATGCTAATTATATAATTTAGATGTAAATTTCGTAATGATGATGAATAAATATGTGAAATTGTATAAATTTTATCTATAAATTCAACAATACGATTTTTAATGGGTAAATAAACAAATTCAGACGTTTATCAGTTTACTAAAACAAACAGTCTAATTGATTCAGATTTCGGATGTCAGTACCACATCTTATAATTCAGAAGTCAACACCTCTTAAAAACAAAAGCTACCTTACTCTTATATAAACTAGAAGGGTACACACGCAATATAGCGATATATATATATATATATATATATCGATTTTAATGTTTTATTTTATTTATTTTTTCTTAATCGATATAATACATTTTTATGTGGTTTTTTTATAAAATAATATTTATATTTTTGAATGAAATATAAACTTGAAAAAAAAACATCGATATTAATATTAAATCAACTATTCAAAAGATCTCGTTTTTTATGTAATTTCTTTAATTCAAATTTTTATTATAATTTAATTTAGATTTAATAATAAAATAATTTATTTCTGTTTAATAATATACTGTTTATAAGAATGATAATTAAATATTATGTTAATTATGTTTTAGTTTTTTATATTTAAAATGAGACGTTTATCATGTATTTGATTATTATTTGCAGTTAGTTACACGAATTTAAAAATGAAGATTTAATAAATTGTAATTATGCATAATATACTTGCAATATTGAATTTAAGTAATATATATCAATAAATAATACTTCATGCATCATAAAAGATAGTTTTTAAAAGTTTTTATCAAATACTTTATAATATAGATATAAAAAAGTATATACTAAATAAAAAAAATTCACATAATTGTCATTTTCATCTAACTATTAGAATATAGTTAGTTATTTCATGGAGGAGTAGTTGGTGATCGCATGGATAAATGGAGATGTCGAGCAACGAATGCAACGCCATCTTTCAACTTCTAAGCTAACCCTAAATCAAACTCGATCAATCACTTAAACACCCAGTTTGATTTCGATTCAATGTCGAATCAACTACGAGCTGTAACCCTAACTCATGTCCGTTATCAAAAAGGAGATCAATTAGGCCACTTCTTGGCATGGATTTCATTAGTTCCAGTTTTCATCAGCCTCGGCGGTTTCGTCTCTCATTTCCTCTTTCGTCGCGAACTCCAAGGTATGTTATTCGCTCTAGGGTTATTAATTTCCCAAATCATCAGCGAATTGATCAAAATAACCGTCCAACAAGCCCGACCTGAGACCTGCATCTTGCTCGAAATGTGCGATTCACATGGCTGGCCTTCTAGTCATTCACAGTACATGTTCTTCTTCGCGACCTATTTCACTCTATTGACTCATAGGAAATCTGGAATTCTGTTTAGAACTCAAAATTGGATGGTAGGTTTCGTTGCTTGGCCATTGGCATTGCTTACGATGTATTCTCGTGTGTATTTGGGTTACCATACGGTAAGTCAGGTGTTCGCCGGTGCCAGTTTGGGGATTTTTCTTGGTGTATTGTGGTTTTGGGTGGTTAATTCTAAGATTAGCAAGTTTATTGTGGTGATTGAGGAAAGTAAGATTGGGAGGTGGCTCTATATCAAAGACACTTCACATATACCGAATCTGTTGGAGTTTGAGTATGAGAACTCGAGAGCTGTGCGAAGGCATCCGTCGTACAAACGAGCAGATTGATGGAAGAATAACTAATAGGTATGTTTATTGTTCCTAGGGTGGGAAAACCGCAAAAAATGAAAAATCGAGGAACACCTTGATAATCGTTCATCTATATGGTATGCACATGTGCATAACAAGCACACGTACATAAAAACCAAGAAACAACTTCAATTACTTGTATGTACATGTGCATACAGGGTGTTCCAATTTTTTGGGGTTTTGCTTTGAACATCTCTCATGGTTCTTAATATGGTAACTATGCTATATATGCTTGTTTGTTGACTGTTATATTCTTGAATCCTGATGTTATATCTTGGTAGGATTGATCTGATATGGTTATGGAAGCTAATTTGGTAGTTGGATAAGCAATCTTCTCAAGCGGTCTAGCGGTCCAATTTGGTCTGAAAAATACCCAAACCACTTGGTTCGGTATGGTCTGCGGTTTAAACATTTTTTTGGAGTTGTCTGGACCGAAACGACCACCAAAAATACACATGTATTAATAATATTTAGCTTTCATGTTGTAGCCACAACTTTTATTGCCCAATCAAAACAAGTTAGTCTGAAACATTATGTTTTTCGTTTTCATTTCTCAATTGACCACATCATCTAAATTGGCAAAATTCTAAAATCCATCAAAAATCAAGTCTAGAAATTCAAATCAACCTTCGACTTGCTTAATGTTTGTCCAAAATTCCAACTATTGTTGTTAAACTTGTTTAACTTTCTTTTCCAACTTACTCATTGTTTTTATTTTTATTTGAGAGATAGACGTTTTTGTAATTTGGTATACTCTTTTTTAATAATGTTATATTAGTAGAAATTTCATTATGGATATAGATATTATGTTTTTTCCATTAAATAAGAGACCCAAACCGCCTAAACTGGTCGGACCATACCGCCATTTTGTGATCCAGTTTGACCGGTTTGGTCATTTCCTGCCAAACCGCTCGGTTTGGAAAATTTTCTAAACCGCGATTACAGTTTGGTTTGTGGTTTAAAGGGTTAAACTGCCTAAACTAGACCGTGAACACCCCTACAATCTGCTGTAGATTTTTGTGAGCCAAAATGTGATTGGAGAAATTATTTCATCTATGTAGTTGCATACTTATGTA